CGTAGTCGCCGCCTCCGACCCGTCGTCGCCTTCCAAAGCTTGTCGTCGTGGCCGTGGTCGTCGCCATCGCCTCCAGTTCCCCCAAGCGCGGTCACCGTCGCCGCCTTCCAAAGCCCTTCGCTGCTGAGTTCTCCTCCAAAACTCGTCGTCGTCGCTGTCGCCGTCGCCTCCAGTTCCCCCAAGCCCCGTCACCGTCGCCGCCTTCCAAAGCCCTTCGTTGCTGAGTTCTCCCCCAAAACTCGTCGCCGTCGCCTAGATCCCTTCGGCGTCGCCTCCAGGTTAATTTTTCCTTTTTTTCTGAATTTATGAATTATTTTGGTAGCAATTTTTAGTAATTGGTAGTTGTTCTTGCACAACGGTGTTTTTACATTCAACAAAACACCAATTGTGTTTTTTTAGAAAAACACAACAACAAAAACACCTTGAAAGCCAAACAAAGCAAAAACTCATTAGGTTTTATGTTTTTTTAAGAAATAGATATATGTCTTTAATATAACTCATTTGTGAAATAGTACATGGTTACTATATAATTTATTGCACGAAATAAGATCATGTTTTTAAACGTCGACTTGATGATGATAACATGTTGATAGCACTTTGTAGACTAATATCAAACTTAATAATGCATTGGATTCAGTTATGCCTTATAGATTTTAAAACTTTGATCTAATAGACATATTAGAAATTGAAGAAAATTTTGAAATAAACTCATTCACAATTTTAATCCCAACATTCGACCGTACCCAAAATTTATTTACCAACTCTGAAAGGGAAGTCATCATCTCTTTTATAAGTTGAGCTTTAATCAATGCACGATACTTGTACTGTGGAAGAACGAATCCACTCATCTTCAATGCCGTCGAGGGGTGGTTCTTCATACTCAACATATTCATTATTAGCATAAGCCTCATCAGGCCAATTCGGATTCTCTTCAACATCTTCAGTCACAAATTGCATGCTATCAATTGGTGCACTATCTTGATCTTTACTTTCAGAGTCGTTGCTTCTTTCATTCTCTTCAATTGTTACCCCTCTAAATGACCTCATATTTTCATAATGGATGTCATTGTTCATGGCATTTGACGTTCCCCAGAATGAATGTGCACTTAGGTATTAAAATTAAGTCTGCTCTATTTCATTCAAAGAAGAAAAAAAACCACCAGACTCAACTCCTAAATCTAACATGCGTGAGAATTCTCCTCGAGGTTTGAATATTTAGCACGAACTATATGGCAACTTTTCAATAAACAATTCTATCGTTAGTTGTGACTTGCTCAAATTAAACATAATACTCATATGATGATCGTTTGAGATCTTAACTACGGGCGTTCTATCAAAATTTATGGGCCAATTGCATATTATTTTTAGTTGGTACTCTTGTGGGTCAATTTCTGTAACTCGGTGAAATTCCTTAATCAAGTCACGATAACTATATGATTCCGAGATCATTAACGACGCCGTTACCCCTTCGACGTACATTGATATATTATTCATTCTATAATTAATTTTTCCACCATAAGAGTTAGCAATAAAAATCATATTTTTAACCTATGCAAAAGAAGATTATATCATTTAAATATAAAAAATTAAAAAAAGTTTATCAGGGCATTGAATAAGAGAGTAAAACCCAAGATGCAAATAATCTAACATAATTTTGACCAAAAACTCTAAACTCCAAAATGAAAATCCTAAACCCTAGAATTGAGCATTCTATGCTCTAGAAGTTTAAATTCAATTACAACAATCAATACACAAAGCATTCGAACCACCACAAGTAGAGTGATTGATAATAAATTTCAAACTCTAGAAATTGGATTTTGATAGAAAACCCAAGATTTTTACATGTTAAAAAAGGAGAGAAAAAAAGAGAAATTACCCTAGATATTTAAACAAACTTTCACAATGAATTTCAGCCGCAAAATGGGGTTGGGAGAAGTGAGTAGGTAGCTGAACAAGAGAGAGACCAGAGTTAGAGAATAGAAAAATTGGGATTTTGGGAGAAATAGTTTCGGTCATATATATAAGGAGGGTACGACGCACCATAAATAGTCGGGTTGGCAACCCCAACTACTTCATGACTTAGCATCTTCCCAATTTCGGGCTAGAGAGTCTCTGCTAAATAGTCGGGATTGACAACCCTGACTATTTCATGGGTTGGTTCCTGTCTCTACTAAATGGACAGGGTTGGAAAGCCCGACCATTTCGAGTTGGCGCTTCGAAATGGTCGGGGTTTCCATCTCCGACCATTTTGTGTAATGTTTAGTCCCCTAACTATGAGAGGGCTGCGGGGGAGGTCCTACTTAGTCGGGGTTGGCAACCCCGACTAATTATGATTGTAATTTGTTTTAAACGACTCACTTTCTAGCCACTAATCTGACGTGGTGAGAAAGTGGGTCGATTTTGGTAAATAAGTTTGGGTTGGGCCGAAATATGGGATTAAAATTGTGAATGAGTTCATTTCAAAATTTTCTTCATTAGAAATTCTAACTAGTAATTTTAGAACTTAGATCTAAAACACATATCAAAGAACTTTTATGTTATAGAGCAAATGCATAACATCTAATGTGATGAGAAATTCATATTAAATTCATACTTGACAAAATTTGAATATTTGGTCGTAGTCTTAGATTGTTCAAAGGGTTGATCAAAGATTTCATATTTTTCAGGGTGTTCTTTTAATTTTTTGGCTTTCTTGAGGTGTTTTCTACAACTTCATATATTTCAGAAGTATGTAAATTTTTAATTTTTTTGGGTGTTGTATGTAATTACAAATTGTTCATGGAATTCTTTGAATTTTTTATTTTTCAGTCTTTTTTTTTTTTGAAAATTTTTAGGTGTTTTTTATTGATGCCAATCAATTATTTAGGATATTAATTATGGGTTGGAGGAGTTTAGAGTTCCTTTCTCTCTTTTAATGGCTGACCATGACTACGAAGAAAGATTCCTGAACATAATAACATTGTTAGAAGACCAGAGTTGGATTCTTCAATGAGCCCTCCTGCGCTCAAGTCAATTATAAATTAAGTAGTTTGAAAGGTGCTGACTTTAGTTTGAGAGCATTCTCTAATCAAGATTGTTAATAGCTTCATGCAGAGGAAGTGATTCTTATTTATAGGAATTTGGTGGGGACTACTTGGTATTTTGACGAGGTTAGTGTGGGTGGTCGATCAGATGGTGCTTTACACGTGCGAGTTGCAGGGCAGGTGAGTCATGCTCACATTTAATGCGATAGAGATATGGAGGTTGAAGTGTTGTTGTCATCCGAGGAGTCATTATGACTCCGGTGGGGGAATCATAATGACCATGGCTATGCACTAAATGGATGGTGACTGAGCTACGTAGCTAAGCATGATGAAGCTGGTAGATCAATTCATCTTTTATGATATTCTGTAGTGAAATTGAGGAAAAGACGTCATTCATCTTAGAATTTCTGAATCATTGAGCAGGTCAGGGTCGAGAGACCAACCCAAAGATGCCTTTTGTCTCGGACCTGTCTCGAAAATAAGTCGACTACATGCATGCCCAAGTCAAGCTTCTTGAGTACGGGAAGGTAGACCACTTAAACATGACACATGACTATCTTTGAGTGGTTCATTGTACTTAGTAATTTTTAGTGTACAACACTAGCCTCTTTCAGTCAGACTCAGACTCAAGAAGTGGAGTTAGAGAGAAGTATAACGGTTTTTGTTATTTGTTGTTCTTAGAAGATTGTCAACTTTCTTGGATTACTGTTGCGATGTGATAAGGTAATGTCAGCAGAGATCATGTTGCAGCTTTGACAAAGTGGCGCTTTGGTAATTGAGAGGACACTTTAGTTAATAAAGCATCGCTTTCACTTTTATAAATCGTCAGCACTCTATTAAGTTACCAAGCCGGCCATTTGGATCATGCCATGTGTCCTCTGCCATCTTTTATATACACCACTTCGTTTTCTTATTTTCCCACGTTACAAACCCTAAACCCGTACTTCATCGGCGAGAACTTTTTTCCTTTCTCCTTTGAAAGATCCACGATCATACTTTTCAATCATCTTCTTCGATTGTCGTGATAGAGCTTAGTGCTCAGCGCTCCGCCTCTTGTAATGAGTCTCAGATCAATCTGTTGAGAAGGTTCACATCGATGTTGACCCAACCTCGCCCCGAACAGATTGCCAAGGACTATGACATACCCAAGGGTTTTACTTTGGCAGCCATACTGAGTGATCAGGTCGTTTATCATCATAGCGGCGATCTAACACCGGTGTATATCACTCATTTAGATTATAGGCTCTGATTGCCACTTCATCTATTTCTCCAGTGAGCGTTCGAGGCTTTGGGTATTTCCTTTCGCAATTGAAGTTGAACTCGGTCACTTTTCTCGTTGGTTTCCTTTTATTATCTGCCACTGGGTCCACATTGAGCCAAAAATATGGATTTTGGCCACATAGTCTACGCCAAGTTTGGCAAGT